AGGGAGGTTTATGCTTTCAAATGTTTTAAAGTTGTTACTTAGCATCATTTCATTTCAACTTGAAGAACCCCCTTTGACATGTCTTGTAAGTCCAGTCTAATTCTAATGAACTCATTTAGTTTTTGTCCTGCAGGGTTTTTATTTCCCTTTCAGTTCTGAAGGACAACTTTGTCAAGTATAGTATTCTTGGTTGGAAATTATTTTTAGTACTTTGATTATGTCATCCTAATCCCTTCCGCCTTACAAAGTTTCTGTTGAAAAGTATGCACACAGCCATATTAAGGGGTTCCGTTACAAATGTGACAATTTTCTTCTCTCTTCCTTCTTCTAAGGTTTTTTGTCTCTGTGTTTTGAAAATTTGATAATTATATGCCTCAGATTATTAGCTTTTGATTTGATCTTCCTTGAAGTCCACTGAGCTTCTTGAATCTGGACGTCTATATGTCTACAAAGATTGGAAAATATTCAGAAAGTATATCTTTAAATAAGCTTTCTTCCCCTTTCTCTTCTTCCTATACTGCCATAATTCACATATTTTGCACATTTGATGATTTATTATAGGCCCCTTATTATTTCTTCACTCCTGTATATATTTTTTCCCTTCTGATTAGCTATTTTTTAAGAAAGCTGTTTTTGAGTTTGCTAATTGTTTCTTCTGCATGATTGAGTCTGACGCTTAAGCTCTCTATTGTATTTTTCAGTTCCGTCATTGTATTCTTCAGCTCTAGGTTTACTAGATTTTTTAATTAAAGGTTTCTACTTAAGTTCCATTTTTTTCATGAATTGTTTTCCTACTTTAAATCAGTTGTGTATCTGTATTTTCTTGCATCTCATTGAGCTTCCTTAAGATGATTATTTTGGGGCCTTTTCTTTGTCACGACAATGGGGGCCTGTTTGTTGTCTAAGGTAAATATATCTTGCTCTTACTCTGTAAACCTATCTGTCTTTCTCAATAAACTTGATTTCACGCTTTGAAAAAAAAAATGATTATTATTTTGAATTCTTTAATAGGCAATAGGTTTATCTCTGTTTCTTTGGGGTTAGCTTTATTAGTTTCTGTTAGTGCTGTCATGTTACCTGAGTCTTTGTTATCCAAATAGCCTTGAGTTTGTGTCTGTGAATTTGAAGAAGCAAACTATTCTTGCAGTCTTTACAGAGTGGTTTCAATAAGTTAAAATCTTTTCCTGTTAGGTCTTCAGGAATTCAAGACTGCCTCCAGTGGGGTTGGAATGAAATTACCTGGTTGCTACTGTGATTACAGTAGAGACCACAATTGGTGGGTCTCTTACCAGGAACTCTGGCAAACAAAGATCCTATAGTCCCTAAGTAGAATGGATTGTCTCAACGACCTTGTTGGTTCTGAATGTCTGCATCATGGTTTATAGATGGCAAGCCTGTTACCCAATGTGCTGACAAGTGTAGCTTCTTATCTCTGTTACGGCTCCTGCTGAATCACTGGGTGGGTCTCTGGGCAGGCTGTATTGCCTTGGTCCATGGCTGAGAGGGGATGGAACTAGTCACAAAATTGTTTCAGGGTCCACTGCTGAGACTGAGATTTTCAGGTCTGCCTCTGGGGTCACAGACAAGTATGTTTCATGGTGTATTTCACAGCAGGTAGGCTTCCTCTCAGACCACCACTGAGAGGCTAGAGCCAATTCACATGTGTTGTTTCAATATTTACAAGGGGACCAAGGTGAGACAGTTCATGCTAACATCCTGATTTTTGATGAACTCTTGTCTGTGTATGCCTTTGGCTTTCCACTAAGCTGTATCATTTTACCTCCAGAGGGGCCGGAAACTATGTAGTGAAGGTTAGTCACATTCCATGCCTATGCAACTGACCCTAAATAAAAACCCTGGACACCAAGGCTTGGATAAACTTGTGTCACATCACATGTATTGTCACATGTTAGGAAAAGTAAATGTTCCATTCATGTAACTCCATTAGGAGAAGATAACTGGAAGCTTCCACCTACTTTCTCCTGGACATTGTCATATATACTTTTTCCCTTGGCTGATTTTTAATTTGGATCCTTTTGCTATAGTGAAGTATAATATATAAGCTTCTCTGGGTTCTGTGAGTCCTTCTTGTCCTGTGGATAGTCTTGAGGATCCCCAACACAGAAGAAGATAGAAAGTTTCCATTTTTAAGAGTTTTTAGCTAAAAGGGAGGAATGTTTTCTTGAGTGTCCTCTGCTAAGCACTATAAATGTAATCACATCTAAACCTTACAATAAAACTTTAAGGTAAGTATTATCATGTTTCATTTTAGATAAGGAAACTAGGAATCAACAAAGTAAAATGCCTTCAAAAACTCACACAGCTAAATAAACAGAAGATCAAGATCCAGATCCAAATCTTCCAACTTCAGAGAATTTTCTTTTTCTATCCTTTTTTTTGAATGAGTTTAAATGTATTTTATTTTTAAAAAACCCACATGACATGTTTTTCCTTAAAAACAATATCTCCACTTCAAATAAATCATGGTCAAAATAAATGAAGAGCTCAAGATGACATCAGTCTCGTTTGTCTTAAGTCCTGGTGTTGTGTGGATGACAAGCAGCAGCCAGTTATGATGACAGGTGATAGATCCAAAGTAATTGCCAAATTTGTTAACATTTTTGTTTCTAAACCATCCTTAAAGAAAATCATATATGGGGTCACACCATCCTCACTGTAGTCCAGGAGAGCAACCATGCCATCTGGATTCATGTTTTCACCAATAAAGAACTGGTAGTTTTTGAAATTAGCCAGGATGTGCTTGATTTGTTCTGCAGCCCCTGTCATAAAAGGTTTTACTCTTTCTGGTCTCTGTTCTTCAAGTTTGCCTTTGATTGACTTCATGTAATCTTTGATGTACTTCTTGTAGGCTTCTTTTGTGAAGCTGGTTTCCTGCAAGTGATGGTTCCTGACAATATCAACACCAGTGATAACTGCTCTCGGTACCTTTGCCCTCAGGTCCTTCAGGTGAAGCATTTCCACCAATGAGCGAGTCATCAACGTTACCCTCTGTCCTACTGACTATCTTCCCCTCCACCTCCAGGCACAGCCCATCCACGATCTCTCGGATCTTGTAAATGTTGGAGAACATCTCATTGTGGCTGATGAGGTCCTGGTAGATAATCATGATGGTGGCTGAAGGGAGACAGTGGCAGGAGCCCGGAGCTCTGAGCCAGCTTGGTGGAGCTGGAGGGGCACTGCAGGGGTAGGGGTGGGGTGTGTGGGTGTGTGTGTGTGTGTGTGTGGTGGGGAATGGGCAGAAAAGCTTCTTCTTCTTCTTTTTTTTTTTTTTAAAGAGACAGAGTCTCAGTTTGTAGCCTTCAGTAGAGTGCTGTAGCGTCACAGCTCATAGCAACCTCCTCTTGGGCTTAGGTGATTCTCTTGCCTCAGCCTCCTGAGTAGCTGGGACTACAGGCGCCCACCACAATGCCTGGCTATTTTTTGTTGTTGCATTTTGGCTAGGGCCAGGTTTGAAACCCCCACCCCCGGTATATGGGGCCGGCACCCTACTCACTGAGCCACTGAGAATTTTCTTAGTTACTCTTACCCCTACACCAGAAAAGATAGCAGAAGACATTCAATAAACATTTGTTAATAAAATAAAACTGAAGAGAAGGGAATAAGGCTGGCTGTGGTGGTTCATATCTGTAATCCCAGCACTTGGGAGGCCCAGGCAGGTGGACTGCCTGAGCTCTCAAGTTGGAGACCAGCCTGAGTCAGAGTGAGACCTCATCTATAAAAAATAGCCAGTAGTTGTGGTGCGTATGTGTAGTCCTAGCTACTTGAGAGGTTGATGCAAGAAAACAGCTTAAGCCCAGAAGTTTGCAGTTACTCTGAGTTATGATGCCACAGCACTCCACCCAGGGCAACAGAGTGTGACCATCTAAAAAAAAAAAAGGAAATACGAAGTATTGAAATGACTAAAGGAGATACCAACAAAAAAATGTTTCACAGTCACTCTTAACTTGCTAAGATAGCTTGACTAGTAGGTTGTGGCAGGAGTAGGAGATAAGGAGCAGGAGGAAGAGAAAAAGAGAAAGAGTGAAGGAGAGAAGATAGATAGATTTTAGAAGAAAAGTTAAGACCTACGGAGTAATGGTACAATGTATTGGATGCAACAAAACAAACGCAACCAGGGCAAATGAGATAAATTTCATATGAGTAGGAAATTTTGAAGTGGAAATTTTGTAACTATGAAAAGTAATTAATTGCCTTAAAAAACACAAAGCATCTTTGTAATAAAGAAGAGAATTCTCTAACTTAAATTTATCATTTTCTTGTTTTGTTTGATTTGTTCTTTCTTTATGATTCAATTTTCAGCTACATAGACCTTTATTTCATAATGAAGAAATAATTCTTTAGTAAATAAATTATCTCAGTGGTGAGAAATATATATTCATTGATTATATTTTATGGTTTAAAAAAGCAGGTTTAATGTAAAATTTCCCCAATGATAAGACAAAATTTATGTTTTAAAAAAGCAAGTATAATGCTGAATTTCCCCAATGAAAAGATATAAATTACATTAAATTTAGTTTTTATTCAGAAAGATACTGCCTTGAGACAAATGATCGATCCATTAGGTATTAAAATTATGTTAAGGGCAGGTGCAGTGGCCATATGCCATACTCCCAACTACTTGGGATGCTGAGGTAGGAGGATTGCTTGAGCCCACAAATTTGTGTTTACACAGGGAGTATTGTTTAAGCCATTGCACTCCAGCATGGGTGACAAAGCAAAACCTTGTCTCTAAAAAACAGAACAAACAAAAAAAGGAAACAGTTATGTTAAGAGGTTTAGTTAACCAAGTAAAAGTTAATAGAATTCTGTTCTTCATATATAATTTCTATAACTTAATACATACTATAATGTTAACAGTTAATATGTTCTGTTTTAATTATGTTTTCTTCCACTGGAGTACTTCCTTTACAAATAAAACATCAAAGGTAAGACAAACACAATCACTGTTTAGAAAATTTTAGATACTGAAATATAATTACCTGTTTTTCTTTATTAACTCCAGACATAAATAGTTGTTTATATTTGTCCTTAAAAGCAAAATTCAGAGCTTGTGTTGGAAAATACCGAATAACATTTGCCAAATTGCCACGCCAGTAACTGAAAAAACCTGCAAAAGAAGATATATAAATATATGAACCCATATAATATTATTATTGAATAATTTCCTTAGTTTTAACAAATTTAGCTATATGAACTATCTAAAACATCTTTTGTTGTGATAAAAAGTTTTTTAAATGACATGTCTTCACTGAAGGAAAAAGGGCAGTATTAACACTATGATTACATTTCATTTTATTAATTTTAAATAAAAAAGTTTGAATATCTAAAAACCTATAAAAAACACC